CTCATGGTGTCTAAGCAAATAAAACATCTGCACAAAATCAAATCATACATTCGTATCTTTTTACGTATACTGCCATAATTGTAAGCCCTTCGTTAATTTTCAAACACTCAAAAAAAAAAACCAATATTTGTTTATATAGTACAAGGAAAACAAAGTCATATTCATTGCGTTCGTCAAGGCTCCCGTTCCTCAATTAACATTTCACGCTCCTTTGATTGCATCACGCAGAGATCTGAGTGGCTCTTACAATATTAATAGCAAAGATTCTTTTTTCTTGACCTTAATTTGTTTCAGGTGAACGTAATCTTTAATAGGATGGCAACAAGATCTTAAATTGCGTGAAAGCGTGCGTTGTTCGGTACTCTGTGTGACAAATTTGTTCGATGTTTGCTTTCGAACACCCGTTGCGTCAACGACTATCAAAATGTTCTTGTTTATTTCGAAAGAAAGTTGTATGTTGCTACATATACTCTATAACTATACTGAGATCTTAGAACTTATATCTCAAGGCGGGTGGCGCATTTACGTTGTAGATGTCCATGGGCTCCAGTAACCACTTAACACCAATAAAAAAAAAGAATGGTTACTATTGTTGATCGAAGAACGGATGGAAGACTTTCTGTGAAATAGGGTACGCACGCGAGCAAATGCATCGACAGACCTCCACTGTGTTGCCATCTAGTAACATTTACCGCGATCAAGGTAAATATGAAACAATCGCTCGCTTTGGACATTTCTAAATTTTAAAATGGATTTCTAGGCGAGAAATAACGAACATTATAACTGAAAAACTCAATTAGAACTGTTAACATGCTCTTTTTTTATTTTTTATTGCCCTTGTAGGCAGACGAGCATACGGCCCACCTGATCGTGAGTGGTTACCGTCGCCCATGGACTTCAGCAATGCCAAGGGCAGAGCCAAGCCGCTGCCTACCGCTTAATACTCTCCACAAGCCTCGTTTAAAGAAGGACACGTCATAGCGCTCGGGAAAGTGGGGGCGAGCCGTGGAGGGGAGCTTATTCCATAGCAAAAAAAGATCTCTGGAAACGCACTGTGGATGACCGCAGTGGCTCCAGGTAGTATGGATGAACTCTACTCCGATGGCGGGCGGTGCGATGGTAAAAACGAGATGCCGGTATCATCTCGAACAATTCCTCAGAGAACTCCCCTCATGATAGAATAGTGAGTAGTGCGTCGCCTACCTACGGATTCAAGTTAACATTAGAATCTGTGGCCTGTGAGCTTAGTGCAAGTTTTTTAACGTTCTCGCTAGCGTAATAGTTAGCTCTGTTTCTGTTAAAATATTTTCTAATTCCATCGCATTCTTTATCCGTATATTCATTAAATCTTTCAATCTCACACCTCAAATAACAATTGCTACTAAATGCGGCAGATTTGTCTCCCTTTCATTGCTGATGAAGATAAAAAGCGTGTCTTATTGATATTACTGAATCGTAGACAATCGTTGAATAAACAAATATGTTACGTGAGGTAATCAGCTTCAATCAGCATAATATCTGAACCTGTATCTATAGGCCGTCCAGCTAATCTTCAGAAGCCATGATTAGGGGCCTCGCCGAGCTACTGAACCTGCTTCACCATCCGTCCGTCCTTAAAACCCTTGTTAGGACAAACCACAAGCTGTAAAGTTGGCACCAATCTCGCGTGACTACAAAAGAATCTTGTCGAGCATTCCCCACAGACAGAGACTAAGATCTTCTCAGTGGGTCGCGTTTCCGATCCGCTGGTAGATCCAGCGAAGCACTGCTCTTGCTAGGGTTAGTGTTAGCAACGACGTCAGGTTTAAGACCCGTGAGCTCACCTACTCACCTGGAGAACCTAGTATAACCCTTCGAGGTTAATAGAATAGGTTAAAAAAAAAGTCGACCATTCAAAATTAAGTTTCGAAATGCATATATGCGTTCAGGTTGTTTTATATACATATTTGCCTCAGTAACTGTTTGTACATAATGATTATACATACAGTATAGATAACCCTTCTTATATCGCGGTATTTTACAACACGGTTCCACTCTAACGCGAGAAGAAAAATTCCCCAAAACCTTCTTATAACACTGAACTTCTACAACGCGATAACGAGCTTTTTGTTTAAAATTATTTAAATAATTACATTATACACTTAGAACACACTTCTTATTTTTTTTTATGTATAATAGGTAAAATAATACATACAGGCATAGTTGAAAGGTTTCATTCATAAAAAAATCTCTAGTTTTTGTAGTGGCTTCCAGACTCATAAAACGCGGTTTCGCATAGCACGGGACTTTGTAAGAACGTATCTACCGTGTTATAGGAAAGTTACCTGTATTTAACAATTGTTCATATCAAATAATGTACAGCTGTCAACACATCTACTCTGCTATGATAACGTGTGATAAAATCATTTCACGTGCCTATTCGTTTTATGGAATTAAAACCTTTGTACACTCAATGACGAAAGTAGGGTTTTACCTTGCTTGAAAACAGATACCCGATTATAAGAAGCACACCCGGGCCTTGAGACCAAAAATCTTTTATAAACATTATTCTTTCAATAAAGAGGCATCTTCTTTTTTGGGCCTTAGCAAATAATTAATTGCCTGACAATTCGAGGCTTGGAATATTTTGTAGGTGTTTTTTGGATGCCTTGTGGTATATTAGCCACAGTTATTTACCACACTAACAAAGTTTCATCCATATTGTTTGAACTTGGCTATTTCATATAAAACTAAATCACTTGTTTTTTATACCTTTCGTAAATCAAATTACCTTTACAAGTTATCTTTTACAAGCTACTGAGCTTTAACTGATTGCCTATCAACAGACAATAAATCAATAAATACAAAGATATTCATTTACAATTTATTTAGATTAACATTTTTGCCGTGAAAACAGACGTTTCGGTTTTAAGGGAAGAAATTTCTAATAATTCGACTTTATGTCTAATGTGTATTCAAGTCGTGATATCTATGAACTCAGCAACCACTAAACATCATGTGGCACGTAAAATCATTCACACAAGTAAGCAAATTTAAAAAAAACGATGTCATACAAAATTCATATAAAAATACGTTTTACTTTTCACGATTCATACTATAAATAAGTTAAACTCGGAAATAAATATTACCAGTGAAGTTACGAAACAACATTACAACAACCAATTTACATACTTTACTAAATCACGAAGTATCAAGTAACATTTTGATTTATACATATACAGCGTGGTTGAATGTGTTTTAAAAAACTTTACTTACTTTTACCTAAGCAAGTCGAAAGCAATAAAAAAGACTTCTTGTAAACGCATTACATGCCTATTTCCGTGTGAACTTCAGGTAAACTTTACGGAAAAGTAACAATTAATAACAATCAGGCTGTAATATGTGTGCAGAGTGTTAAGGGGGTGTCGTAATGTTAGCTATCAGATAGACGTAGCTACATAGCAACGGCTAAATAACACAGTCAAGATTGCAACGAAAATTTAAAGTAAACACTATTAGAACTGGAATAGCGTACATTTTGAAGGTGTATTGTAAATAGACCTACCTATAACATCGTTAGGTTATTACGTTTTTATTGTCATAAAAAAAATATTTAGAAAACTAGACGTTAGTAATTATAATATTCAATTGTCGCCAAATAATAACTTAGTCGCCCGTGACTACGAAAACTCTCTTTAAAACTTCGTAAATAATGTAATTGCATTAATAAACGTGCGACTAAACCGTAATAATTTTAATAAAATCTACGGCTCGAGAAAACCGAAGCAAATATTGAACATATTTGATTACTATGGAAGACTGAAGAGTATACGGACTGTGATGCTATTTACTTGTATGCATGACAAGTACTGTGGTTCTCAGGCGATATGATGCGCCACCACGGAAGTAAGCCGGAATACAATGAGTTTGAACGCTTCATTACACCAATTGAAGTATGAAGTATCTTTGAGTTAATATAATGTAACTTTTATTTGTGATGTGATTGATATCTTGCAATTTTAGTCAAGCGGGTTCACTTTACTTTACTTGCTCTAGATTTTTTTTTATTGCATAGATGGGTAGACGAGCTCGCATCCCACCTGATCTTAAGTGGTTACGGCAGACCATCTACAACGTAAACGCCATTACCCACCTTGAGATATGAGTGTTAAGATCTCAGTATAGTTACAACGGCTGCCCCACCTTTCAAACCGAAACGCATTACGGGTTTACGGCAGAAATAGGCAGAGTGGTGGTACCTACCCGTGCGGACTCACAAGAGGTCCTACCACCAGTCGCTAAGATTGCAGTTTTTCTTAGAGTCAGAGGTAGACTATGAGGAGTCTGTTCTCGAATACATATCGTTGGTATTTTTTTATTAATAATAATAAAGGTTAATGATGTATGAGTTATAAAATATACCATAAATGTTAGCCAAATTGTTTCGAGCAATGCTATTTTGAGATACCTATGTACAAATTTTAATAATTAAAGATTTTAGTGTACTGTGAATGCTAATTATGTCAATGTGTGAATCTGAAAAAATATCCTTACAAAACAAAAATAGTTTACGGTTTCCCTTCCTTTTTTAAAACATTTTTACTGGTGGAAGGACCTCTTGTGAGTCCGCACGGGTAGGTACCACCGCCCCGCCTATTTCTGCCGTGAAGCAGTAATGCGTTTCGGTTTGAAGGGTGGGGCAGCCGTTGTAACTATACTGAGACCTTAGAACTTATATCTCAAGGTGAATGACGCATTTACGTTGTAGATGTCTATGGGCTCCAGTAACCACTTAATATCAGGTGGGCTGCGAGCTCGTCCACACATCTTAGCAATAAAATTAAAAAAAAAAACATAAAGTATAACCCCAAGATATCTATCGCTAGCTCGAATCTCTTACTGGGACTGTAAGCTATCGTACATGCACTGGGCGGACCGAGGGCGGGCGGGGTGCTAGTGGGAGCCGCCCCGCAGATATAAAGCCTGCTACGAGCCTTCTACGACACAACACAAGCATCGGTCGTAGCAGTAGCAACATCGTAGCAGCAATCGTAGCAATGGCTTTCAGGTGAGTCTACGAGAAGTTGCCTGTTGTTTTTTTGAGCTATTTTCCTCTATCCTTTTTTAAGATAAATTAAAACGAAAAGAAGTTTTAATAAAAAAAAGAACTGGTAGTGCGTTGAATTTAATTTTTCTAACTTATACTTTCTTTTTTTTTGGGGTTTTTTTTTTGTTTTAATTCTATTTTATTTGATCACTCGTAGCTACCCTAGAAACAATTGTTTTCTTTATTATTATTTTTAGACTCATTTACGACATCCAATTTTTTTTCCGTTAAAATTACTATTTTAGAAATTATCCTTTTAAAATTGTGACTGATATACCAAAATCGTTCAATACTCCTCCCGAACCACGTTTTCAATACTGGGTACAATCAGTAGAACCAGTATTATAAAATAATATATCTTTACTGAAGATTCTGTCATCTCTTTTTTGCCATAGTACCATCTGCCAGCCGAGCAGACTCCATTTTAAAATTATCCACATCCATATTTCCACATTTCATTCACAGAGTATCCTTCAATTTTGCCACGTACTATTCGATTCTAAATAAACTTTCCATGGCTATTTTTTCCCGAGCTGCTAACACGTCTTTTTACAAAAGAAATTTGAGCAGAGTCCCCATCAGTTTAGCTGTACCTCTGGCATTGCTGACGGCCATCAGCAATATTAACCCTAACCTTTAATGATCATGTAAAGATTTACCTTTCGAATATAATTTTTGTCACTACATTCTTATTCCGTCAAAGAGCCAAACTCCACGTAGCCAATCTGACGGAAGGCCAACCCACGCTACTGCCAACCGTAAATACAACATATTAATTAAAAAGCAATGAACAAGCCAACAAACCAAGGTGATTTAACAAAAATTTGGACCGTCATCACACCTGCCGACGTTAGCAATTTAGAAAAATCCACCCTTCACAAAGAGAAACGCTTATTTATTTAGGGCTTTGGGAAAAATTCATACAGCTCAGACCGGAATTCATTTCCGAAAAATATTATATGGAGAGAAATCCACTTAAAAATGAGACCCACAAGACTGAGAGGGAAAATATGGACCACATGTAAAATGGCATACATATGTTAATTGTTGTCATTATCGCAGTGGGGTAGATTACATTAGTTTTATGATCTGTCACATGTCTGATGCCTATTCTTTTTGAGGTCAAATCCTTGGCATGACAGGATGGGAATCCTTCATTGAGTTTTGAGGGGGAAGTACTAAAAATCTTGAGGGAGCCGGGGTGAAATAACTCATAATCTTGTTCGTAATAACCTAATACTACTCACTGCTTACAAATAGGTGTTGTCGTCACGGTCTAAAGTATAAGACGTCCAGTATATTCGTATAAAGCGATGCCACTGGGCCTACGTTCAAATCCTACAAAAGTTTTTTTTTTTAAAGATTTTAAGTACTTAACCCGTATCCACGTAGGACTTCCGCGGTGAAGAAAAAACACCGTATCTCAAAATCAGACTCACAAAATTTATTAATTTGTTTAAATAGGTTTGAAGGGAGTTAGATATATTACCCGTTGTAAGTCCATACGGGTAAGGGCATCCTGTAAATTTTTGCCAAAGTAATCATGTCGCCTAGACTTTGACTTTTTAATTTTTGTGCTGGTTTGCAGTTATACAATACAACATAGTCTTTGACTTCATGGCTCGAAAAGGGGGGTCAATATGTTGTTATACTTCGGCCCAATCGACACCAGGTGGACTGTAAACTTATTCATCTATGTTGAGCTATCATCTATACTAATATTATAAAGCTGAAGAGTTTGTTTGTTTGAGCGCGCTAATCTCAGGCACTACTGGTCCGATTTGAAAAATTCTTTCTCAATAAATCTCAGTAGAACGAAGAAAATGTTAGTCTTTCGAATGCAAAGTACTTGCAGTCAGGTCTTTTAGGAAATGCATACGATATTCTTCCTGTTCCAAGATAATAGGTGCTGTTTCTGTTCGAGACTGTTACTGGTATCACTAAATTCTTTCTAAGATTGATAATTAAAAAGATAATAGCTTGAACTAATTAAAAAAAAAATTATGTATTCAATTTCGTCTTTTTCACAAGAACATTCTGAGCTGTAGAAAAATGATTATATAAGCACTAAACAAAGTTAATAGAACCGAAGTTATACTTTTTCGTTAACGATGAAAGGGAAGTAATATTATCTTTTTGTGGAACGATTTAAAACTTCAACAACTCGTTTATAAAAGTTTGGGTCGTTTTAGCGCGTAACAAATTGTTGTCGTCGCTTCGTCATTATCTTTAATACGATTATTTCGTATTTTATCGGGTTTGAGGGAAAGAAATAGATTAATTTCCGCTTTCTTTTCTTTACAATGAAAATTTAATTGTGTTTCCGGCTGGTTACAAAAAAAAAATCTAATTCCACATTAATTGAACTGTAAAATATCATATAGTCACTTAGCTTACGTACAAACAAACACATCTATCTCATACTAATTACATTAAATTACCAGGAAAGTATTACCTTTAAAATTACTTTTCCTAAAAAGTAAGTATATATTAGAAAAAAAAACGAAAGAATAAGATTCGAAGAAGCCATTTTTTAGCATTGTCTTCGTTGGGAAATTACATAAAGATTTGCGCAAAATCGTAAAAGAATATATGTAGTTAGCTATGCCATTTTCACACCTGTTGAACGCACGCTCAACACAAAATTAGATTTACGAGACACAGATTATTTTATAGACTTCTTCAAGTTAACAATAAGTCATGAAGATATTTTTTTAGGATTGTAGACAGACGGAATATCTCACGGTTCATTTGGCATTAAGTTTAGTGCCTGATGTGCCTTTTTAACATCAGCTTTGAGATATGAGGTTGTTTCGAATTGACTAATGCGACAAAAATAATCAGGGTGGTGGGGCCTACAATAAATAATTGAGAAACATAAATGTACGCGTCGATGTCTTGTGCATCTATACTAATATAAAGATGTCTATAATTCACTTGTATTAGAAAACTTCCTAACAATTTAACTGTAACAAAAAGATAACCAATCACCATCAACTTGGTGGGAAGTTCGTCTGAATTCAATTAACATAAAAATAAAAACAAATTCTATAATGATACTCCTTAAATAGCGTATTAAAACAATAGTTACAAATTTCGCTCAAAAATGATATTCCTGAACAAAAACCGTTACACCCTAAATTAAATTTACAAGGCTTTACGAAATTTAAGCCGGTTGTATCGTCTAAATTGGCCGTTAGTGTTAATGTTACAGTGTTGCCAGCATTGTAGAGAATATTATTCGAACGTTGAAAACGTTAAATTTTGAATGAAAACTGCTTGTAAACAATCCGAGGAGATCTTAAAGACAAAAACTAAAAGAGCGCCCATTTTTCCCGTTTGATCTTCGTTGCGCGTTGGCTTTTTAACCTTTAAGATAAAGTAACATAGTAGTAATTCAGTGTAATTCGATTGATACACTACAGACATTTTCACAAGGAGACTTGCTTTTTTTCTTACCTAAGCTGATGGTCTTGAGAGGCCATATCAGCGTCACCGGGCGACTGGATGAGCTCACGGGGCTCAAGCCTGACGTTGTTGCTAACACTGGCCCTAGCAAGAGCCGTGCTTCGCAGAATCTACCACCGGATCGGAAACGCGACCCACTGAGAAGATCCGAGGAGAAACTCAGTGGGCTGTGTCTGTGGGTTAATTTACTCGTCGAGCCTTTCGTCGCAAGCGACGGGTTCGACGAGAACGATGACCGGTGCTTGAGGTTCCTAAAAGCAGTCTATCCGTTAGTCGTTCGGGAGGATCCGAAATGACGTATTTTGGGCGACGTCGACTGCTTTCCATTCTGTCTGCAGGATCGGGAATGGCGGAGACTTGCGATGTAATAATTTAAATCGAGTAAGAGACCATATTTGAAATATATTTCAAGGCAGGTATAAAGCGCTTAATCAGTAATGTCCTTAATTAAGTTACTATTTTATATGGAAGGATTTATAAAATAATTAATTACAAGAGAAGCTTCAAATTAGATAAAAAAGTTGTTTTATTAAATTATGCTTTTTTTGCATGCACTTTTACATAGTTTCACCATTGCGTTTCCGTCATTGTGTTCGTTCATAGTTTATTTGTACTAAGCAATAGTCCAGGCTCAAATTCACGAGTTTCCTCGTCGGTTTTTTCTATAATATCAAAAGACATTTACGAAAAATGCTTAGCAACAAAAATCATCTTTATAATAAACACGTGTAGTAAAACAAACAGTCATGGTCCATAATTCCTTATACTCCGGTAGCAATTAGAGCTACGTTACTGTATACGGAGTTGTGTCAATGACTCTCGTAATTTATATACCTATATTGTCTTATTATCGTAAATAAACATTTTTTTTGGAAATTTCTTTGCCCATTAACTGTATTTAGATTTCGGAGACCTGATTTCTTCATACAACTATGTCGTAAAACAATCGTGTAGTTTCAAGGCGATTTGTTTTTAAAATACAGATTTACTCATACCTCAAGTCGATCAAGGTGTTGATAGTAGGCATCCTCCAATAGAAACCACGTTAGCACTGGTCTAGACGCTGCTTAGAGGCTGTGGAACATTTTAGCAGAGGCGATGGGCAGGAAAACCTTGGACGTGAAAGACTGAGGATTGTTTACTATCTCATGGTATAGATAAAGTCTATATCAAGCAGATAGCACCTTAACGTAAACGGACAAACAAGATCACGGCTGATGTAAAATGCCAACCAGAAAAATAAAAGTAATAGCTGCAGAGTGGAGTGGAGGATATTTTGAGGCGAGAGAATCTGGGACGGTTTGTCGGACTACTTACTGCGTACCTTAGAACTTTTTTTCCTCGCCTAATTTCCTCTATCTTGTCTCTATTTTCTGATGTATGGACTAGAGGAAGGACAGTTTGTGAGCTCGCAAAAGTTGTTACTACTGATGATTAAGAAAATTTTCATAACTCTTGAAATCGGAATGTATGGTCGCTCAGCCATAAAAATA